TGAAGGCCATGGGCATTTAGCCCAGTGACAGGAAACACACTCAGCGGGTTGGAAGAAACTGTGAGGGACCTTAGGAGGGCATCAAGCTTCTGCTTCTGATGACGAGCCCCTCCCACCTCCTGCCAAGAGTATGTTTACCATCCATTAGGCTCCCGGTTTCAGCCCCATGCCTACAGGGGAAGGTTCCTACTTTTTCTCCTTAATAACCATGTAGCTCTCACCTTATTTGTTGGTGTGTGTGGGGGGGTTCCAGTCCTAAAAATGAAGTTAGGTTAGATACAGAGGTCTCCAAAGACCTGTCTTAAGGTCTGCATCATTCTGAAAAGGACAGTTAAGAAGCCTTCCCCAGAAGACCAAGATGTGTTCTCACACTAACTCTTGGTCACACAGAACCACATGGACAGATGTGGCAGTATCCCAAGCTACTTATTTCTGGGCATGGGGACAGGTCTCTCAGTGAGGCAGCTGAGTTTGGAGCTGTGAGAACAGTCTGTAGTCACTAGGGTGAAGTCACAGGGTGGCTAGTATTGGTCACAGCTGCAGTGGGCATGCAGAATGCCTGCCGGATCCCATTGCTGGGAACACCAGAGGACTTTGATGGAACTCTCCCAGTGTTTGCAAAATGTTTAGGGTTTGCAAAACCACAAAGACTTCTTCTCAGTCACTTCTTTTGCCTTTCATCCACTTTGCCCTTCCTGTGTGTGCAGAGAGATGGAATCCATGTGTTCCAAGTGCTTTTGTTGAGTTCACCACAGTATGAATATTCTAGGAGATTGTTGGACGTTCCCAGGGTCGGGGTCCTCTGCCCTTGAGGGCAGATACATTCGCTATGAGGTGTGCTATTACACCTTATGTGGCATACTGCCACAAGGATATGGGGTGGTGGCCATGGCTTTCCCATCCTTTCCTTAGAGAAGGCACAGTCTGTCTGACTGCATATGGTGAGTCCAAAACAGCATGTTCTCTGGTGATGCAGCTCTCTGATCCCAGCTACTTGGGAAGTTGAGGCAGGAAGATCAACTCAGTGGACTAACGGGGCTATTAAAGTTCTGCCTGGGTAACCTAGCCAAACCCTGCCTCAAAAAAAGGAAGGGAGGGCGGGCATTGGATCACTGGCAGAGGTCTTTCCTAGCATGCCATGAGACCTTGTATTTTACCTACCAGCACCACATGCAAAGAGATTCTAACAGCTGGAGCAGGGCTGGGGGAGCATGCACAGAGCCTGAGCCTCTGAAACTCAGTAAATTCAAGGAGTCCAAGAGATAAGGGTCTTTTCCCATCACTCTGAGTAGAGTCTCCCTGTCTCCTTCAAGTGTAGAAAACAAAACCAAAAAAAAAAAAAAGGCATTTTTTTTCCCCTGATCATTGCAGGCAACGAAGAACAAATAAAATTGGAAGTACTTCAGCTCAGGGAGAGAGTACCCACGATGGCTGTGTCAAGCCCTCGTTCAGCCTCTAGACTGCAAAACTCTAGTGACCAGAGTTAGAGTAAACCACTGAAATAAAAACAAAATAAGAGTAAACCACTGTGAGGGTTCCCTGCCAATGCACGCTTCTGTCTCCTTCAAGGGCGATGGTGTCATAGCATGCAGCCTGTTCACACACTGCTGCAGCGCAGTCATCTTGCGTGTCTTTGAACCTCGTGGGTGCCGTCTCCTGTGGGTGCTCGCTATTCTGTTGCAAGGCTGCACCCCAGTTTCCTTATCCATTCTTGGTCACCTATGCAGTTCCCAGGTTTTTGCTCTATAAATAAAACGTACAAAGCACCTTTGGAGCAGCAACTGTTTGTGCTTTGGATTTTTTTCTTTGATTTCTAGAAGTTGCTTACAATGTTCAAGGACAGTATACAAAGGTGTTACTAAAACCCATCTGCAAAGCATGGCTGTCCCAGACTGCAGGCCAAGGGCTAGGTATGACCATACCATTGACAATATTAAGTTTATAGCCTTGAGGATCTTACTGGATGTGGGAACCCATGGCCTGCAGCAATAGCCCAATGGGAGGGATGCTGTACCCACGAGGATCTATCTGCGGATTTGGGGATGGGGTGGTATTCTGTGTATACTCATCCTCCGTTTTCCAGAACACTCCTCGGAGGCCTTTCACCTACACAGGTGCCCTTTCATGGCTCATTTGGGGTACATGTGGTGAAGTGGATTTGGTTTTGTTTTCACACTAGAAACCATTTCCAAAAGTGTCATTCACACGTGCAAGAGAGATGGCTTGATTCTGGGGAACTTGGGGGTAGGGTCTAGCATCTGCCAGAACCCATGCTCCACAGGAGTAATACAGATGTTGGCAGTATTTGTCACCCATCCTCGAAGGGATAATCTGTTTACACGCATATCCGTCCTTGGAAACACGAACCTGTTGTCAGAACACTGTGTGATATACGGAGATGGCATCTGGTGATGCAAGCTGTGGTTACCTCATCCCACCACTGGACCCTCCATCCTCAGAAGGGACAGCCAAATTGCCAGATGGAACTAGCAAGCAGAGTCAGGCACTCTCCATGCTTAATGCTGGCACTGAGGGCTGCAACTCGGTGTGCATGTGGAAGATCATGTGTGGTGATACTTTGTTTGTGATCTAACAAATAAAGCTTGCCTAAAGATCGGAGTGTGGAGCTAGCCACTAGTTAGCCCTAGAGGCCAGGCAGTGGTGGTGCACACCTTTAATCCTAGCACTCGGAAGGAAGGCAGAGGCAGGTAGATCTCTGAGTTCAAGGCCACTATGGGCTACGTGAAGATTGATTCAGTCTAAAAGAGAAACAGAGCCAGGTGGTGGTGGCTCACCCAGTACTTGAGAGTCACTCTCCTTTAATCCTAGCACTAAGGAGGTGGAGACAGGCAGGGATATGGTTCTGCAAAGAGAGGAATATAAAGCAGGAGAGACAGGAGCTCAGGGCATTCAGTCTGAGGATTCAGGGAGACAGAATCTCGCCCCCTTCCATCTGAGGATTTGGTAGAGGTAAAAAGAACTCTAGTGGCTGACTTCTCTGATCTTTCAGTTTTCTCCCCCTTATATCTGACTCTGGGTTTTATTATTAAGACCAATTAGAATTCACACTACAATCATGGGTCTCTGGCACAAGGTGGGGGAAAAAACCACAGAACAATCACTTCTGTTTGGCTAACTTGTCCAAAGGGAAAATGAGAGGACCCCTTGTCCTGGCAACCCCGTATTTCAGGCATCTATAATTACAGGGCTTCCACAAACTCAGCTTGGTTAAGGAGGTCAAGGATTTTGCCGAACCCATAGTCTGGACAAGTGAATTTGGGGCTTGTGAGTCATCAGAGTCCTCTTCCCCTGGGGTCCCTCTCTCTTCTGCAGCTTGAGTGACCATATCTCCAGCTGAGGGTCTACGTACATCGGGCCATGCATTGACTTGGTAGCTCCCTCTACATCTCATCTGGATGGTTAGCAGGTCTGTGTGCTCACACTCCGGTTGCCGTTTCTCCAGGTCCAGCAGAGTTGTTCCTCCTCTCAGGTTCCTGGCTTCTGCAGAATAAACCGGACAGAATAAACCTCAGTCTCTGTGGTTCTCTCTTCCTTTGATCTGTTTCTGCTCTAGACCCAGAAGCATTTAGTCTATAAAGGGCTCCAAGAGGCATCTTGCCGTGCCCTATAATTTATACACCCACTACTGACATAGTAGGATGCCCATTCTTACTTGGCCAAGCTCTACTGGCTGAAAGCAATAAGACCATCCAGAGACAGATGGGGATGGAAGAGGAAGCAGGTACCACCCACTCCTAAAATGGAATGAATGCTGGGCTCTTGATGGCATGAGAAAAATATTCAACTAAGCATTGCCAGTGACCAAATCCAACCATTTCAACAGAATGCAAATTAAACTCTGTTCCTCCCCCACCCTACCCTAGGATTCTAGTCAGCCACAAAGTTTTCAGAGTTGCCATTAAGACTCCCTTGGTTGAGTCTGGAGGCTCGTGCCTGGTATCTCAGACCTGGGGGCCGAAGCAGGAAGGTATCCAGGCCAGGCTTGGGCTACAGCATGAACTCCTGTGTCAGCTTTCTCTCCTCCAAAGGAAGCGCATCCTCATGTTGGTCCTTGCCTTGGCTAGGACCTGAACTTACATACCCTGGGTCTATACAGTATTCTCTTTCCTTTCTGGAAAAGGCTATTTTTATTTTTTTTATTTTTTTAAACTTTATTTAACTTTATTTCATGTGCATTTGTATAACGATGTCAGATTCTCTGGAAATGGAATTACAGAGAGCTGTGAGCTGCCATGTGGGTGCTGGGAATTGAACCTGGGTTCTCTGAAGGAGCAGTCAGTGCTCTTAACCACTGAGCCATCTCACCAGCCCCCGGAAAGGCCATTTTTAATAACATAACTTTATTAAAACTTCATGCAACATATAAACTTAATAACTTTTACCTATGAGATAATTTTAGTGAAATATATTTTACACGGAAAAAGATACTGTGTAACTAAAGATTTCAAAAGCAGTTTGTAAGTAATGAATTTTTTTTTCGTGGCAGGGTTTCTCTATGCAGTCCTGGCTGTCCCAGCAGGTCTTTCTCTGTAGACCAGGCTGGCCTTAAACTTGTAGGTCCACCTACCTCTGCCTCCCAAGTGCTGGGATTAAAGGTGTGTGCCACCACCGCCCAGCCGCAAATAAACATTTTTTATTCTTTACACATTTGCAAAAGCATCAAATAAGGCATTTTATATCCATTTAGAAATTCAGCATATTTTTAAATGCAGGCAGGTGATATAGTATATTAAGCATTACTCTTTAGATCAATGTCAATAGCTTAATGGTAAGAATAATTCAAGTAACATTGAAATATGTAGGATGAAATTGTGTGTTTGGTGCCGGTGATCGAACCCAGAACCTTGCACATGCTAGGTCATTGGATGAATTACTTTTATGTTAGGAAAGAGTGTGAAAACGGACACAGGGCTCTGCTCCCCCTGGGGTGGCTCTCTCCTCTACAGCACTCTGATCTACCGTTTTTTTGCTCTCCTCAGGCATAGGCAAGAATGTCATTTGTGACCGCACCGCCACGCCGCTGGACGCCTTCCGCATGATGTCAGCAGCCCACTACTACCCCAAGCTCATGAGCATCATGGGCAACGTGCTGCGCTTCCTGCCAGCCTTCGTCCGCATGAAGCAGCTGATCGAGGAGGGCTATGTGGGCGAGCTGCTGGTGTGTGAGGTGCAGGTGCACAGCGGGAGCCTGCTGGGCAAGAAGTACAACTGGAGCTGCGACGACCTGATGGGCGGCGGCGGCCTGCACTCCGTGGGCACCTACATCATCGACCTGCTCACCTTCCTCACTGGCCAGAAGGCGGTTAAAGTCCACGGGCTGCTCAAGACCTTTGTAAAGCAGACGGACCACATCAAGGGTATCCGTCAGATTACCAGCGACGACTTTTGCACCTTCCAGATGGTCCTGGAGGGTGGCGTGTGCTGCACCGTGACCCTGAACTTCAATGTTCCTGGAGAGTTCAAGCAGGACGTGACCGTGGTGGGCTCTGCAGGGCGGCTCCTGGCAGTGGGCACCGACCTCTATGGGCAGCGCAATAGCGCCCCGGAGCAGGAGCTGCTGTTGCAGGACACTACATCCGTGAGCAACTCCCTGCTGCCCGAGAAGGCATTCAGTGACATTCCCTCGCCCTATCTGCGGGGCACCATGAAGATGATGCAGGCAGTGCGCCAGGCTTTCCAGGATCAGGATGACCGGCGCACGTGGGATGGCCGGCCTCTCACCATGGCCGCCACTTTCGACGACTGCCTGTATGCGCTCTGCGTGGTAGACACCATCAAGAGGTCCAGCCAGACTGGAGAGTGGCAGAACATTGCCATCATGACCGAGGAGCCAGAGCTGAGCCCCGCCTACCTGATCAGCGAGGCCATGCGCAGAAGCAGAATGTCCCTCTACTGTTAGCACTGGGACCTAGTGAACTCGACCTGCTGCATGGTGCCAGTTAGGGGGAAATGCACTGTGGAGAGGGTAGCCGTGGGTGGGGATTGTGGGAGGGGCAGCATGAATGCGCAGCACTTAAGAAGGTAGTCCCCATCCTAGGTAGAGGGCCCCAGTCAAGGTGGTGGTGACCCCAAGATTTCGTATTCAGGAAGGCGTGTGAAAGGAAGGGGGTATAACTAGCACCTCTGTCCATTACTGTGAGAAGCAAGGAGGGGCCGCTCCCACCCTACCTCATCCATCCATGTCGGCCATCTTTGCAAGCCAAGGCTGTGGGAGCTAGGCTCTCTGTCAGCGCCCCCCACTGGCAGGAGAGGGCACTTCATCAAATGTCTTCAAGGTTTTTTTTGGGGGGGGGGTGTAGGGAGGTAGAGGAGGTGGGTGGGGCTGGTGAGAAAGTTGTCATTGGGGAAGCCACTGTGTGTTTTACTTTAAGGATGTGAAGGAAAAGTACTTGGTAGCAAAGTGCTCAGTTTCCTTGGTTGCCTTGTGTCCTAGGAAGCATTAGGGCCTAACCGGCTCAATGCTGTTTACTTGGTAAAGGGCGTCTGTAACGGAGAGCAAGCAAGTGGTAATCTGAACCCCTGAGGTGACCAAGACCACAGACAGGCTTAAGGAGCCCCTTCAGAAGGGGGTGGAGCTAGCATGAGTGGCAGTCAACCCGTCCTGCCACAAGACTCTCTAGGCAGTGCGAAGAATGCCACACATAGCACGGGCTTGACTGTAGCAGCCTGCCTGGGTCAGGGCAGCTACATTCCTGGGTGTTACAGTATGAGCTCTCCAAAAGAAGGGATCACAAGCCCAGCCCCAGAGTTGCTGTAAGCCCAGCCGCCAAGCGGAGGAAAGACATTAGACATTTGTGAGTTTAGATAGGAAGCCATGCGCCTCACACCCATAGAATCCTTTTCCCTTAAGAGTCGGGCTCTTTCCCTTACCCTTGGCCTTGGTTTTCAGGATTCCGATAGCTGGAAACTTTTGACTAGGTATTAAGACAAAAAGTCAACAAGGATCATATTCTCAGTGTTTCTAGAATGGGGCTTGAGATCCCCAAGAGGGGGTATACATAGGTGGAGAAGGTTCACATTGTGTGTGTGGGGGAATCTTCCTCTCCAAATCCCCTTGTCCTTTTACCCTCCGTGAGAAACTAGAGATGACCAAGTACTGGCTTAGAAATAGGCAGAGTCCAAGCCTACAGACACACCCTTGTAAATGTTCGCTATCCTCAAATATCACTAAAGCAGTCCTTAAAATTTGAGTCCGGTCTTGAAAGAAAGGTCAGTCACATCCAGTTTGAAAACAGGGACTTGTCTTTTTCTCGGTTGACCTCGCTAATGTTCACCCAGCGTGGGGAAGTTTTGAGGCTGGATGTGTAGACTGGTTCTTGGAACAATCAGTACTCCTTCTTGGTAATAATTCCTGGGCACCGCCATACTGGAAGCCACACACCAGTGGAATGGCGGTCATTTTTTAGCAGGAAGGAGCGGGTGTTGCCTTGGTAGGGAAACCTCCTGCAATATGATAAAGTTGGTCAGCTGAAACTGGGAGTCTGTGTGCAGGGCCACATTATAGACTTTTAGGGGGGTTCCTGCTTTCATAAATTGCTCTCTAGGAAGTAATTTCCCCCCATCTACCTTGAACAACTGTGATTGAAGGTAAAATCAGGGGCATGGTAGATGACTCCATGGAGTTCATTTTTCCAAGTCATTTATCTAAGTAGATGTTCTTGAGAGTTCAATTTGTTTCTCTCCTTCCTTCCCCCATGATTTTGGAGGCTTTCCCTCCAAAGACCCCTGATCTCTGTAATAAACATGCCGGGTCTAAAACTAGAACTCATTTGAGGCTAGGGGCTGCAGAAAGAATATGCGTTCTTTGAAGGCAGCATGGGAAAGTAGGAAGCAGACTGAAATTGTTTCTCCTGGAAGGCATGTGGTAGAGGTGGAAACAGGAGGGAGAGGCAGGCAGGCAGGGGCTTCTCTGAATCTGAACGACAACAGATGGTTTCAGGGGCTTCTGAAGTGTTCCTTCGGCCCTTGGGGTCCCACGTGCTGATTCTTGATCGGCTGCAGCAATGTAAGGCTGGAATCCCAAGCTTTTCACAACATTCTGCAAACAGACTTTGATCTAAGTCTTGGCAGCAACCCAGCCACTCCTAATTTCTTTTACATGGTTTAAAGGCTTGATGGAATGGAAGCTGTTTGGGGCTTTTTTATTCATTTCTCCCTTTCCTTCTTGAAAGTTTGGACTCCCGGAGATTTTAAAACAAGGGTTTGGGAATGCCCCAGGTTTATCTGCAAAGTTTGGAATCTAGAACTCCTCTGTGGCTACTGTCAGTTCCGCTAAGACTTCTCCCCTCATTGGTAAAATTGCAAATTGCATCTTGGGGTTCCTTCAAAGCTCCTTTGTCTCTGGCAGCATATCCCCCAGTGTCAGGTCCTGTAAACACTCAAGGTACAGCGTCACCTGGCCTTCCCACCAAATGCAGAGTATTGTAGGTGCATCATCTTATTATCTATAAAATAGTATTGGGTACTGCCCCACTCCCTCTCTGTATATATGACGATGTACCATGTCCAAAGCCACAAATGAGTGAGCGAAACACAATGTGCACTTCTGTTGTTCTTGCCAGGAGAAGCATTTCTCATGAAGCCCTGTAGGGGGCATGCTCCCACCCCAAGGAGCAAATGTAAGAGGCATGGTCTGAGATCCACAGGGCTCTCCTTGTTGAGCAGGATGCAAACTGTGATGTCCTGCCAGCCAGTTGACAATTACAGTTACCAGCAGATGCAGCTGGTTGGTCTTCCGCTTCCCAAGTGGAAATGTCACTCAGCTTCTTTTAAGATGGATTTCCTATGTTGATTTTTAAATGTGAATGACTCAGCCACCCTGGACACGGGGAACTTTCTAAGCATTGTCGGCTGTGATAGCTGGCCTTGGCTTTTGTTGTTGCTGGGGCCTTAATGTAGCATAGGAAAACATCTTTTCCCAGAAAACGGGGCTTCGGGGTTTATTTGGGACTTGGATTGAAGCTGTGTGTGTCATTCCATCAAACACTCTCTTACTTCATCTTGTCCAAATGACTGTAGCTATTGAGCTTGACCTGTGGCTATAAATTAGGTTTCTGATCTGGTCTCTTTTCCCAGTGAGTACTGGAGGAACTAGGCTGTGTTAAGGATGCCCTGAGGAGAAAGTCAACCCAATAGCACACGAGAGGACTTCAGGGTGGCATCTGTCAGGTTCTTCCTTTGAAATCCCAGAGAGAAATGTAATGGCCAAGGTCGTCCCCTTCTTTCATGGTAGAGCCAGGGTTGAGAAGCCCATTTTCCTGAGTCTTGGTTCCTTCCTGACTGAACTGCCCCTTTTGGGCTACCACACAGGGAAGGGAGGCTCATCCAGACAATCAATCTGGCTAGGTGATAGAGAGGCCAGGGTGAGAGCACAGACCCACACCGGACAGTATTCACTGAGCTGTGACAGATAAGCCCATATTTTACAAATGTGATACAAGACTGTGTGTGTGTTAGGGACAGAACCCAAGGTTTTGTGCACTAGGCATGCTCTCTACCACCCATCCTCAGCTGTGTCTTGGAAGTATTCAAAAAACTTGTGACTATAGCAGAAGGGTCATCTCTAACTTTGCGCCTTTATGGAGGCGAGGGAACACAGAGTCAGATGTACTCCTTGAGGGAGACTTGAGGCCCACTCTACCATCATTGCCTGCTGTGCCGTGCTGGATATGAAGCTTGACCCTGACTAGCCTATGACTCTTGTTCCATCCGCTGCTGATTTCCTTTGCCCACCAAATCCCTGAAGGTTGCAGGGCAGGGTGATGACACTGGGGAACTAGTTGGAGAAAACAGCACCTGCCAGACCATCCTGTTCGTTTCCTTTGGGCAAGGGAAGGGGGTGAAGAAGGGACCATTTCAGGCATCAGCAGGGTGGCTCCAGGGTCTTCAGCACTTACGCTGTTCTGCTGGCCCACCCTGGGCTATGCTCTGAGTTTAGCTGGGGCTTCCAGAACTTCTCTGCAGAGCTGTTAATGCCACCTTGTACTTCTGTAAAAGTGAGAGGTTGGTGGTCTCCTTGGAGCTTGGTGATGTGAATGATGGCATCAGTAAAGAGATGGTAGCCAACCCCACTGGCCTTTTCTCCCCTGCATCAGGGTCTTATGTGCTGGAGTTCTTGAGAGAGCCAATGAAGCCTCTGGCTCTCCTCCAAGCTACTGACATGTTGCACTACTGAATACTCTCAAATCTGCTGCAACCTTTTGTTTACACCAGCAGAGAACAGGGTGATAAAAAGAACATTATAGCGGAAATGCTTGATGCTTAGTGCAGCGATCAAAGCTTGCCTGGGTCAGTGGAGCAGGGAAGTCATCATGGCCGTGGAGTCACTGTGCCACTGTTGTTTCCTGTGCCCTGTTCAGCTCTCTGCTGTCCCCTGCAGCCACCACAAGGGCTAGGCTGTTCAATGAGCCCTCTAGCTTCTAAGAAATGCAATGGCTTATTTGTAGTGCTGAGTGACATCCAGGTGAAGAAGCAAAAGCCCGTGACCTGCCCTGCCCCTTTAGTCTGCCCTGCCCCTTGTTTAGGGGAGGGAGAACTTTCTAGCAATTATGGCTTTGTTTGCTGCCTGGTGCTTTTATAGTATGTCATTTCCTTTTCTAAAACCAAAATTGCATCGGTTTGGTTGTCACTGTCAAGTGTATATTTATTGTTTTACAAATGTGAGTATATATGTATGTATATGTATAAAACCAAACCTATATATAAAAAGTCGAGGCATGTATACTAGATATTTTAAAGTTATTTATCAAAGGGAAAAGATGTGTGTTATAAAGTAAAACAGAGTCTATATTTTATATATAATGTAGATAGCAAATGATAGCTTATAAATTATAGAAGGTTTTACTTTTTGTTTTCTATTATTAAATGAAAAAAAAAGGAAAGAATTTTAAAAGGTATTTAAAAGATACAGGAGAACAAATGCAACAGTGCTCAGTATTTTTAAGACAAACCATTAGGGAGATGGAGGTGGCCTGACCGCCCTCTGCAGTTCCAGGCTGAGTCTATGGGACCCACTGATGCCTGTACGATGCTCTGGCCCAGGGTAGGCGTGCCAGCCAGCTGTCTGGGCTGTGCCGACATTGCTTCCAGCTGTTCTTGAATGGGTTTGCTGGGGTGAGCATCAGTGGGAAAAAGGATGAACGTGGAAAATAAAGTCTTCAAAGAAGAGGTGATTCCTGCCTGGTCGTGTTCTTCTAACCCCAAATGCTCTGGACTTGGGGGTCAGCTCAGTGTGTGGGCTCTGAAGCAGAAAGGGGGTACATTCGAGATGGGGGGTTTGGGGTGAGGCTCTGTCAGCATTCATGAAGCTACAAAGGTGTGGAAATCATTGAGTATGTACTGGAGCAATCTGCTTCAAATTATTCTGAAATTGTTAAAATAGAGACTACTTAGACTTTGGGCATGTATGCATAGCTGTGTGTGTGAGAGAGAGAGAGAGAGGGGGGGGGGCTAGACTAGGGAAGATAAAAGCACAGCTTTTACATCAGAGGAGCAGATTTTTAGAATTTTCTCATTCAATAAAATAAAGTTGGTTTAGTGACACATGCCTATAATCCCAGTATTCCAGATATAGAAACAGGAGAATCAAAAGTTTAAGTCCAACCTCGGCCACAAAGCAAGTTTGAGGCCAGCCTGGGTTCCATGAAATCCTGTCTCAAAAACCCCCAAACCAATGAAAAGGCATTTCCTGACAAGCTTTCTTAAGAGCGGCTTTGTCTGCCTTGTGTTTTAGGAGCATTCGAGAGTGGCCATTTTGGACTGAGTTCAACTTAATTGGAAACGTTGTGCGGCATGGAATCTCATGATGGGCTTGGCCTTCCCTCTGCTGTGTCTTAGCAGAAAGTGCACAATCATTTCTTCTGGTCTGTAGCACCCTTTACTTGACCAGTTCAAAAAGATAATTAGGACCACACAATCCAAAACCTCCTTATTCACAGATACCAACACACACACACACACACACACACACACACACACAAATCCATATCCTCATAACATTTTTTTTTAAGCAGCAAATTTCTGCATCCACACACATGAGTACGGTACCCCCAGGACGGTACCACACCTTAGGATTCTTCAGTGAACCTCTCCACTCCTAATCAAGGCAATGCAAAAAAATTAAAGAGCCCAAATCATGGAGCTTGTTGAGACAGGACTCCAGCCTCTCCTCTTCTCCCAGTGAACTATCCTGGGAACCAGCACTCTGCACATCGTAAACCTAAGCACTTCTAAACATTTTCAGTCTAGGGGCTAATTATTGTTTCCCAGGTTGTTTGCTTTCTGTGTGATGCTCACTGCTCCCAAATTGGGATCATTTCTTCCTTTGTAAACCAGAATCATAGAGGCTGAGCATTCCTAGCCGGAAAAATCTGAAACCTTTTGAGCACCAGCGTGATGAACTCTGCAGCATTTCGGCTTTGGATTTTCAGATTAGGGATGTTCAACCAGTATGCACGTATTCCCAAATCTGTAAACATCAACCAAAACAATCCCCTAAAGCCAACAAGTGAAGCACGTCCGAGAATCTGAAGTCCACAGGGGTCAAGCATGGGTTAGGACTACTCCATCTGTCAAGCGTCATGCTGAGCCGTAGACTAGGACTGCTTCCAGGCTCTTGACTACTGCCCTATGCAACAGCCAGTTTTCCAGCACTCTATTCAGGTTCCTCACAGGCCAAACGGGAACTCCGTGTATCCTCCCATATCTGTCTGACAACCCCATCCCAGCCCTACAAATAGCCTCACCTTCTATTTTTCCTTTCCTAACTTTTTTTGAGGCAGGGTTTTTGTTTTTTTTTTTTTTAATTCTACATAGCCCTAGTTGTCCTGGAACTCACTAAGTAGACCAGGCTTGTCTCTTAAGTACTGGGATTAACCTACATCATCATCATCACCATCCTGTATTTCAATATCTATTATGACAAATCTGGTTGGTTTCATTTAAGAACATCATATTGCCATATTTTATGGTGAATTACATGTAAACATAGTATGTGGAAATCTGTGTTAAAACGGGAAAATCACTAAGCAATAAGGTCCCACTTACTGAATCATGTCTGCCTTATTCTTGCCTGAGCAGAAAAGGTCCCTTTGCCTGGGTCTCCCCAGATTTTGTCCCATGCCCTGTTGAAAGGCTGTTCAAGACACCTAGATGAGATGAAAAGG